GCCAGCTAACTTATAATTTTTCTTTAAGAAGTCTGTAATTCTATAATTCTTCTTTAGAAATTATGAGCTCTAACAGTTAATCCGATGCAAAAAGAAATATGAATAACAGAGAGAAATTACAAATATACTGTAGAAATAGTTCTGCAAATAATTATGAAATATATCTTCACATCATAGTAAAATTTGTTTAAATAAGCTGTTTAAATAAACTACTAATTAATATGATTCATGTGGTAAAGTACATTTAGTACTAGAAACAATACCCATTCTTAATGGAAGCCAAGAACTGTGTAATATCAAAGATTTCTCTTATGGCATATGAAGAGATTGTCTTTACAAGGAACAGTGTATGTCATTTATAATACACCCAAAGTCCTGAAAACATTGTCTTGAGGCTATGAGGTCACACGAGTGGTGGCAGAAACGGCACCATCATTGAGAACTGCTTCCATCAGTCATGTGACCTGACAGCATCATGATCGAACGCAACCTGGAGAAAAGTACAGCTGTCACCAGCAATGGATTTTATTATATGTGCACATATAATAATGATAATAATAATATGCTTCTTTATTAGATGTATGAGAATGTGATATTTCTGATTATATTTGCATTTATATTTAATATATTGGTGGTATTTACAGTGTTCCAAAGGGCATTTGAGTTACACATAACTTTAATTTAGACCACTTTCAAAAGTTTTTACTGTATTATTTTTTATTACTCATTGTTGAACAGTGAGCTTATTTGACTACCTGCCATTATTGTGGAATAATTACATATTCACAGCAATCGACCACAGATACAGGGTAATTTGTGTCTTGTGTATTCAGGAAAGCACTTTGTCATACACACATAGCTTGCAAAATAGCAGAATGCTGGAGTTAAGTGGATGGGGTTCAAAAGCACAAACAGTCCAATAATGAAGAATCTGCAGTAGTTTGCATGAGAGATCGTCATGCTTGGCATCTGGTCAAGTAATAGCACATTCTCCAGAAATCAGCAGGACGTGGTTACAGATTCTTCATGCTGTGAGTTTCTTTCGATACTTACGCTGTTGTGTCGCTCATTATAATGGTGATTCATTGGACTTCTGTTGCAAGGCGCAGTCAGGGATGAGAGCTATCTGTCTTTGAATGGTTCAAGTGCAGGTGGAGACATCAAACAGATATCCAACTAATGCTGAGAGGTTTGCAGTGTTCACACAAAGTCTTGGGACACTTCAGTAAAAATATTGTAAATTTATTGGTTTTTTAACAAAAGAAACATTACTTCATTTATTTACAAAAATATGTATCACATTAGAAACAACCAGTTGTTTTAAGTAAACCATTTATTTCAATTAGTAATACATTGAAACCCAAAGTATAGTTCTAAAAGAGCTGTACTGGTTTAGATACTGTAAGCAATCACTTTCGGTGCTTTTTATTTAGTAACACCTTCGCAATAACATAAAACACCAATATTTATATTTGGTATCTCTTTGGAAGCCAGTGACTACAATTGCAATTAATAGCAAAATAGCAAGAACATAACTGAAAAAGTCAGTCAAAAAATCATGACACTTAATAAAAAGAAAATATCTTTGCAGAAGATATGTGCAGATATGTTAAACATTGCTTGTCATTGGACTTTATTATGAAACCAATACATTTTTATAAAAATAAACATTTTTATGGAATTAAGCAAGTGTCTCAAGAATTTCTTTGAGCACTGTACATCTCACAAGAAATAAAAGTGGGCATTTTATCAGGAGAAACTAAGGAAAGAAATCAATAACTAATAAAGTGACTTACAAGGCAGACACAGTACATCAGAAGCATACGACTGTCACTGAGTCAAATTAGGTATAAATCACTCCAAGCTGAGCTTAATTTGAGTGCCCAGTATCAAGTGGAACAAGAGCTATAAAACATATGACATAACATCAAAAGAGGAACATAAGCTCTTACTGGAGAAGCACAAAAATATAAGGCTATAAGTAAGGCTTTGTGATGAAGATAGAGTACGTCAGTGGTCAGATGAGTTTGCTGAGGTGTTCCTTGAAAATTTTTTTTTAGGTTTTTAGGTATTTCTTGGACTATTTCTTGGCAACTAGATGTGGATGAGTCCATCATCAAGGAACCACACACAAGAAATGTCTGGAGTGGGGCCCATTTTTACATGGAGATGCTGGCTTGCTGATAGAAGAGGGCAAGATCTTGGGTCTTCATGAAGGACTTTAAGGAGATGGGTGCTGTTCAGTTAGAGGTTCTGAAAGCCAAAATTAAGGACATGAACTTGACTTGGGCATCTATAGGGAGCCAATTAAGCCATTTCAGTTGCCTGAAGAGATTACTATAATCTGTGTGTACTATACTTTGGACTTCATAAGTAAGGTCTGATCTTTCTTAAATCTGCAAGGACAGAGCGATGGCGCCAATGACATCAGCAAAGGATAGCTGGTCATCTATCATTACCCCTGACAATGTTGATGATCCAAGCTGTACAATGATGCCGTGTTGAATGGTGGGTTTAGTGGACAAGTGGCTCTGTTATTGAAAAGTTACGCTAAAGGTAAATCCAAACTGAAGTGCCACATCAAGGAACAACCTAAGCAAAAAAATGGTGCGGTCAGTGGACTCAAAGACTCCTGTGGCCAGGTTCTAAGGTTACCTGGAAAAAAACTCAGGTAACCCCAGGAAATATTATGGATTTGCCAAAGAGGTATGGCTGAGATGACGCCTTTGTGCACACCACTGATGTACTACACTGTCATTTTTGCCCTTGTGGTCTTCCTATTAGTCTGGCCTCTCCCTGTAAACTCTAGGTGTCAAAATTCCAGTTTCTGAAAATTTGGAAACTCCATGCCTTGCTTCAACAATCAAACCATGTTTAAAACCAATTAAATCACAGTGAACCACTTGAGCCTCTCTATCTGCTGTATATATTCAGTTGCACCCACATGATTCGATGTTTAGAGGAGCATGCAGTGTGTGCTTATGAGCAGTTGCACCTAATGAAGTGGTGACGGAGTGTTGGCAGATGTCACATTTCCAGAGTTTGAAATGAGATGGTTTATTTTGTTAGAGGAGAGAATAAAAGGACCATCTCATAAACAAATATGAAATGCATCACAGGGATTTCAAATGGTGAACACAATAAATTTTAGCTTTTCAAGCCAGGATACCATGACTGGACTTGTATGTATAAAGAGCAGAACTCAACAAACATTTGAGTTTATTATGGATAATTGGGTCAAGCGTGACATGTGATTTATACAGTATGTGCTTGAAACGCAACTAAATCGTATTTGCATGTCTTATTATGAGTTCCGTGCAGAATGCAGTTGATAATGAATGTGCTGAATTCTACTCACAGCCTTAAAGAGCATATGTTTAAAGGAAAGAATTTAGCTCAGCAATTGATCGCACTGCCTGGAGCCAAAACATCTGGGTAATTTTTACTGAGAACTCATCCTTTAATACATAAAAATAAGTAAATAGCTTATTAGGAGACAAGATACAGGTGGTACCTAGTGAGAGCATGGAATTGAGCCCCAAGTCATGTACTCATCCCTTACACAAACATGACAACAACTGTTTATAGGGCTTATGGTGGAACTTTTTAGATATTTTATGATCTGGGATTTCATCCTTAATATGAAGCACCAATGAGCACCAATGAACTAGACTCTGGACAAAAAGCCAGAGGTTCTATCTCACTTCCTTATAATATGCAGCCACATTTCAACGGGTTGATCTACAGTACGCTACATTTTTCACCCAAGAAATGTTCTGCCATCCATGATGAAGGACGACCCGTTGGCTTTACTCAAAGATGACAAGCGTTTAGTCAAACCACAGCAAGAAATACAGTGACATTTTCACAAAGTGAAGATGAAGCAACTCAAAATAAAACTTCATCTCACTCACTCAAAAAGCTGAATTAAAATTGCCAAAATGTCACTGCAGTCTTAGTCTGTATTAAAATCATTGCATCTCTCAAAAACTGACTAGAAATATGTAACATATAAACATCCGACGCAGATTATGAATGAATTCTGCAGATTATGAATGAATTCAGTTTATTGAATTTATGAAGCTTTCTGATTTTCTAAATAACTTTACCATTAATTGGATTTAGGTTCCCTTCAGTATCTTGTTCTCAATAATAATAATAATAACTATATATATATATATATATATATATATGCAATATATATATATATATATATATATATGCAATATATATATATATATAT